GTTAGTGGATCACATTATTCAGTCTAAGTGTATGCATAACTGTTTTCAAGACCACAGCTCAAACTAAGAAAACAATATTTAATTTTTCCCCCAAGGTATTGATTTGCTTCTGAATCTGAAATTCATAGCCAATCTCTCTGTACATAATAAATGAATCATCCTCTTTCTGATCCAGCTACAAGTTTCAATGCCAGATTCAGATTTTATGCCTTTGCTTGTAGCTCTTTCACTGTCGGCATAAGAATATCCTTCTTTGTACAGTAAATGACAGAAAAGATAGACTGAAGGTTTTGTGGGTGCAGCTGAATTCGGTTATTCCCCATACGTAACTGTAATGGAGCTCCTCAAGTGTGGCTCAATGACCTTAACTGGAGAATATTACAAATCTTAACTTAATTTCCAAAAACTTTACTGCATTAAATGACAACATATGCTTAGAGAAACTATAAGGAATAGTATCTTATTAGTTTAAGATGTTTTTTTCTTGTGTAATAAGAAATGAGCAATGATGTAAAAATGTAATTGGCAAGCAAACAATTCATAATATGGTTTAATAGCTATTTCCATTTTGAAACAGCAGATAATGTTATTGTTTACTAATGTAAATTAAGGACTAAATTATAGCCAGGTCTGCAAGGTCAAAATTGTTGAAACGAGTTTTCATACCCAATGGGCAGTCCCCGTGGTAATACATGTGGTCAAGAACAAGTACCTCTTGTTCACCAAAACAAGCAAAATGTAACTTTCCATATGCTCCCTGTGGCATGATGCTTATGAATCTTCTACTGCTGCTGCTTGAATGAAAGAATGGAGTCATGACTATTGACATCTTTCCAGAGCTGTAGTGAGAAAAATTGCCTGTGGGGCTTCAAGCCAGAACATTTTTGGTGTAAGGCTTCATTGGCTGAGCTGAAGAAGGTCTTTAAAATTTAGGTGGAAAGGGGAAAAAAAATCCCATAGAAAATATGGAAAAATATCATAGAATCAGAGTATGGTTTGGGTTGGAAGGGACCTCAAAGATCATCTAGTTCCAACCCCCCTGCCATGGGCAGGGACACCCTCCACTAGCCCAGGTTGCCCAAAGCCCCATCCAACCTGGCCTTGACCACTGCCAGGGAGCCAGGGGCAGCCACAGCTTCTCTGGGCAACCTGGGCCAGGGCCTCAGCACCCTCACAGGGAAGGATTTCTGCCTCCCATCTCATCTCCATCTCCCCTCCTGCAGCTTCAGGCCATTCCCCTTGGCCTGTCACTCTCTGTCCTTGTCACCAGTCCCTTTCCAGTTTCCCTGTCATCCTTTGACAACTGAGCTCTGCTTTGACCTCTACCTATGTGTTCCTCGTACATTCGTTTCAAGCAAAGGGTGGTTGTAAGTCCAATAATGTTAAGTAATGTATGAATTTAAAACAGCTCTCAGAAATTAAATGTTTATTTCTGGTGAGGAGCGTTTGTTGTGTCACATTTTGCACGATCTGGTGCAAAAACCCTGTAGCTGCCTACTATATACTTTGACAACATTTTCCATGATACCGGGGGGAGTTCTGATTTAGCAAGTAAATAATGTCTTAAAATATTTCACTTCTATATCTCCCTTGTAGATCTTTGTGCCTAAGACTACAACTTCAGAGGGTCTGGTTGTAGCCAGACTAGCATAACAAATGCAGCGTGTATCCCTGCCTGCTTTTGCTGTGTGCTTTCATATTCATAGGTCAATAATTGTAGCCTGAATAAAATGTTTAGGTGTTAAATGTAAATTACAATATATATGGCAAGAAGAGAAATTAATTGCACTGGTCAACTAAAAAAAGCGTTTTTATCTTTTTTTTTGGAAAAAAATCTTTGCAGTGAACTCTATCAGGCTATGAAAAATTTCCTTGAGGAGTTGGTGGAAATTCCTTCATTTGAGTATTTCAAACATGATTCAGAAATAGCTTCTAGATAAAGCATATAGAAGCGTTTATGTCATTTGGACTAAATTATGTTATCAAAAAATAGAAATATATGTCTGGATACAGCCACAAAATATGGATTTTTAAAAAAAAAAACATTTTCACATCTGGTACACACACTACAAAAATCTCAGTTGGGCACTCAAAAATGGGCATAGTACTCCAACTAGAACCTCACTGTGCAACTTCACAGTATCTTCTCCCAAGTCTTTTTTATATATTGTAATCGATTGACCTTTGCTAATTTTTACAATAGCATCCCATTGTTAGACACATTACAAAAATCCATTTGACTTGTCTTTCTGGTTTGACAACATACCACAGAATTATTCCTTGAGATGTTTTTTCTCATGAGTTCCATGTCCACCTTATAGGAGTTTAATTTACATTTCCCTTGTTTTGCTCCTAAGAATGTCATGTGTGGCCATGTCAAAAATCTTACCAAAGTCAAGTTGTGTTATATCTCCTGCTTCCCCCAACCCACTAGTTAGCTGCCCTGTCAAGGAAAATATTGCAACAGCTTGATGCAACCTATTTTGACAAGTCCGTTACCTGTCTAACATCTGCTTATTGTTTACAGGATAATGAAACATTAATTGCTTTACATCATGTTTCATTTTCTGTGTACTGAAATTAGGTTGAATATCCTATAATTCTTCCTTCTTTTCTTCCCTACCTTTATAAAAATAGTTATCTGCTTTTTCTTCTTTTTCTAAATCTCTGGAACTTTTACTGTTATTGTTTTTCTTGCATTCTCAAAGATGGTTCAGAAATTGTTTTGATTATTTTCTTAAGAACCGCAGTGTCAATCTTACTATGCTCTGTTAACTTGAAGACATATTTAATAGATACATTTCTTTATGTTTATGTAGATGTTCTCCAAACTGACCTTTCCTAATTCAGGTCTGTTGTGCTTACTATTAATTATGTTAAATACCTGACCACCTCTGCTATTTCTGAAATTCTAAACAGAAATGTAAGGACCCTAAATATTAGGGCTCTTTGCCTCCTTTTCTGTTGCCATTTTTTGCATCTCTAGCTTTACCTGTTTTATCCCTATGACTCTAAATAACTTTTCTTTTATTCTTTATGTTTAGTTGTTTTCATTGTATTTTTAATGATTGCTTTTTGATTTTCAGGCTAAAGACTTCCTTATGCAATCATATTACTCTCCTACTACGCTTTCAAGTGTTCCATTAATTAAGATAATTTGATATATGCATTTATGAATACTCTTTCCAAAACTTCAGCTCTCAAACTCCTTTTTTACTTAAAATGTTTCCCTTCTGCCTAACAATGTTTTGTTAATGTTTACTTTTCTTAAGTCTATTGTTGCTGTCACTTTTTCCTGTTTTCTCCAATATATCTCAAGGACTGACTGACTGCGCGTATTGAACATTATCTACATGAAAGATACAATTCTGTTCTTTCATCTGTGTTCATGAACAAACATATATATATATATTTGTATATACATAGGCAGAATAAACAAGATTTGAATAGATATATCCCTTTAAAGGGTTCCCTTTTAACATCCAGTGAGTGATACTTAAATGCTGGAAACAGGAATGTTGAGCTCATTGTTGCTGTTAGTTATTCTTCAAAATGTAAACTATTCTTGAATCATATTGTTTTTGTGGGTTTTTTTACTTTAAATCAGATACTAAGTAAGATGCATAAAACATAGTTTTCATTATGAGTAAGACACATTTAAGGATGTTCAGTGAAGAAGAAAATGTGGTTTCCTGCCACAGTGACAGTTTACTTCCTAGGAAAGATTATCACTGCTCTTGATGAAAATGACAGTGGGGATTTCTCTTTGTATTCATCAGGCTACAAAAAAGTGTAGTAAAACTAGGGTCTAGGGAAAAGATGATAAAGCAAGATAATATTGTAACAAAAAAGGCAACTGAGTTAGGAATCATCTTTTCTTGATCTTCCAATTAATGTGCCAAAATTATAAAGCCGATGGTACATGATCTTGATACCTAGATGCTAGCAGGTGGCAAATAATAAAAAAGATGTGAATATAATGAAAAGATGGTTATCTATAAAACTCAAGCTTGACACAAGTTCTTTAAATTTGTAAGAAATAATTCCAATGGATTTTGTGTCTAGGTTTCTAATGAAGCATTGATTCTATTTTTCCTGTGGTGTATGAGACCCCAGTCCTCCAATATTGATGTTAAAATATTGAAGAACAGGAGTAACTAAGTGCAGGAGTATAGGTGTATTGTAATTATCGGCACCTGATGTTCATGTTCCTGTTTGTAGGATTTGGGTTTCAGTTGTTAGAGGACTGATTTGGGGAACATTTATCTTTCGGCATATGTGATATGCAGAAAGTGATTACACCTTCAAAGGAATCCTGTATAAAATGTGAAGAAAAGCCTCTGGTTACTTCAAAGAATTTTACATATGTAAATAATTGCTTTAAGATATGTATTCATGAAGGACATAACACAGCTTATAATACCATTAGCTTATATCTATGGTTATTTTTTATGTTATATACACGATGAAAGTGAAGAAACAGGATGTTAGTTTATGTGCCTTCACAAAAGTCATTTACTAGACTTTGCATTCTAAAGATATTTTGTCCCTTATACAATTATTATTATCCATTATGAGCTAGATTGAAGTTAATTATCTAAATTAGTAGGCATAATGGCTACTTTTTGCTTTGATTATTTGGTATAAATATGTACTGTGTTCATTCCAAGTTGTAAATGTTTTAAATGTTCTTTACTGATAGCTTAGATAGCTTGCAGTCGTTTAAAAGTTAGGAAATCACACTTTTCAAAGGAAGCTTTACGTTCTTTGTTGTGCAATTGGCAGACAGAATATGAAGATGGCTATTTTCATGCTTTCAGACAGTGTGCTCTGCATGTGTCGAGTCGGTATAAACTCACCCCATGAGCCTTCCTGGGTCTTGAAATTGTAACAACAGTATGTACCATGTCTACTGGAAGGTATTTATGCCCAAGGGCAGGGGAAAAATGCTCATGAAAGAAGGTGTCTAATCTGACTGCCTTTCATTTTGTTTAATCTAGTCATGCCACGTTTTGCTGAACAAGTTGAGGTTGCCATTGAAGCTTTGAGTGCAAATGTGCCCCAGCCATTCGAAGAGAATGAGTTCATAGATGCCTCCCGCTTGGTTTATGACGGAGTTCGTGACATCAGGAAAGCTGTTCTGATGATAAGGGTATGTAAGGTACCTGGGAAATAAAAACTGGGACTTACAGGGAAGTGTCACATTGGATGAGAGGAACATAAAAGCTTCTTGGAATCAACTTTGTTTCAGAATAAGACAGAAAACTTGACACTGAAGCAAGTATGAAACAGAAGTATATGCAGCAAAAAAGAATTTGTAAGTAAAGAGATGAGGGTATCTTAGGGCATGAACTATGGTTAATTTGTTAATCACCTAGGAGAAGATTTGATCACAACTGCCAATAGATGGAAACTTCATTACTGTTTCCATAGTAATAGCATTAATTTGCAAAGATCTTCAAAGTTTGTGTAGAATTTTGTTGTTTGTTTTTTTCCTAATGTATGTGTGCTGCCTAGAATATGAGGTAAGTCTGGTTAAAATCTAAATGAATAAATAAATTTTCTTGCTGCTCCAGTGAGCCTCTGCAGGGATGGTTTTGAATGCTTACTGAGGTAAAGAATGTGTCATTTCAACGTCGACTAACCAGTTGATTCAATTTGCTTAGGCATCTTTTTAAAAAAACAAACAAATAAATAAAAACCCCCACAGAACAACGAAATTATTGTTAGAGTAGATGCATGTCTTGCTTTTCAGTGTAGTCTGCAATCAAAGATTAAAAAAAAAAAAACCAACAAACCCAAAACCAACAAACCAAACCTGGACATCTCTTCAGCAATTGAAACTTATCTGAAACCTAAATTACCGTATATCCACCCCAGTGAAAGTGTCAACCCACCACAGAAAGTCACGTACAAATAAAGCTACGGTGAAAATCACAGAGAAAACTGATGAAGCAAACAACAATGCTAAAATAACAGCTCATCGCTTTGGGCAAACAGGTACCACACACTTGTGGTTGTGAGCGTAGTATGGCAAGTAGTATGTAAGTCATGTATGTAGTATGTAAGACTTCAGGCAATTGGAGCACTCCTCCAAAATAGCTTCATTTCAGTCATCTGTCACTATGTATTAACATTTACCCAAAAAGCTTTTTGACAGGCTTAATTTTATAACTGCGAAACATAAATGCTGTCCCCTACCCAGTGCTAATCTCAGGTAGCCTGAATTATAGTCATGACTGACGATGGGGACAAACCCACCCTGTTTTCTAGGTTTGCACCACTGGGGTATTTGCAACTCTTCTCGACTGCGATGGAAACGAAAGATCTGCGTAGGAAAGGATCTCCGTTTTTCCTTTGATTACCCAGTCCCTCAGTCAGTAACAGCAGTTTCCAAACTTCTCTTAGGACAAGAACCACTTCTAAGCACATTTTAATATTTTTATAGTCTCTCGTGAGTCATTTTAAACTGCCTCATGAGACACAACCATCAGGTGGGCTCTGCTATCGCCCCATGCTTTCCCATCCCGTATGCAGAGTTCTGGCTTCCAGCACCCACCTGTACATCAGAGCTGTCCCAGAGAGGTTGCCATGAGACTGTCCATACTGGGTGAGATGTTTCTGCTGAGCACAAAGCACCATTTTAAATTCTGGAGGCACGTTCACTTATTTCATTGCTGTCTTATTGTTATATTAACCACTAGCTTGGAAAGCTGATCAGCATGCAGGCTTTGCAGTCTCCTTAGAAACATCCCAGGTTGCTTTTGCCATTGTATCACCACCACTTTCCGCTCCTTGTGTGATATGAGTTAATGAATTCTGCTTACTCAGATTAGGAAGATGCATTTTTGCATTCAGACAATTAACTTATTTATGGAGCTAAATGTAGTGCTCCTTACCCAGGCAGAGAACTAAAGGACATAAATGGACTCATTATCCTTGTGAATTAACTGGGAAAATCCACATATATAAGCTTACATAGACCAGAGTTTGCTGAATCAGAACTTTATTTTCTGTAGAAAACAAAATTATTTTCAGTTTGAGACACTCTTTAGTATTCCTATCAGAACATCTCACATTGAAATGGAATCTATAATTAAAGGGTGAGCATTAAGTTGTAAAAGACAGTCTTTAGAATATTTTTATCTAATAATCCATTAAATCTCATGTACCGCTTTAATTCATGCTGTAAAGCTTCTTGCAGAACTATAAAAAAAAAAAAAAACACACAAAAAAACCCAAACAAAAAACCTCAACCTTGCGAACTTTTTAGAGCATCTGACATAAACAATTATTTTCAGGCAGTAATTGTTCATGTGCATGCCATGAAAGATTGAATTTATCTGAGATGATTCCCTCATTCCATGGAGGAAATAAAGCCACTTCTTAAATTAATTTTTGTTGGTATTATTACTTTTAGTAAGCTGAAGGAAAGGGAGATAATCTCTGTTCTTCTCTTTTCCCTTGAAAAGGGGAGATTTTATTGTCGTTTTGGAGGAGAAAGGAGACTCATTTTTGCATTGGGGACTGTTATTATGATCTATATAGAAGAAAAAAATCTCTTTCACAACTTAAGAAGTAGTATAAATAAATTTAGGAGTGTAATTATAGAACCTAAAGATAAGATAGAAAATAATAACTTAGTACCAACATCTTTTATATTACTGAGTCGGGATCAAATTACACTTTTTTTTTCCATAGGTACTTATGAAATTCTCACAGTTATTAGACAGAAACCCTCTCTGCACTTAGGAAGAATCACAATGGCACCTTTTCTCTTTCTTATGTATCTCCAAGGCCAGTCTTCTCTCTTCACGTATGGTCTTTGCTATTGGCAACCTCACGGTTAGTTGCATCTACGTTAGCATTAGTGTTACATTTGTTTGGATCAGGAGTGCACTTTTGGAGCCAATCTCCAGTTGTTCCCTCTTGCAGTGCTTTAGTTACAGATTAGTCTTGAAGTATATAAAATTGATTCTTTGGGGTGATCCTGGAAGATGTGCTCTAGGAGCATCTTAAATGCATTTCTATTCTATCATTCAGGGAATTTCAGTCCATGGGAACAGACTAGAGTGAGCCTGAATAAAAATTAAATGAGGGCAGTGCAAATGTGGGGTCCTTAGCACCAGCGGTTTGGATGTATAAATCCTCTTCTACTCTTCCACAGTCGTCAGTGTAGGCTTAGCCATGATCACCCATGGGGTAGCCATTGTGGTGAAATCCAAAGTGCTGTAACGTCTCAGATCCTCTGGAAAATTAGACTTGGTGCAGAATCCCATCATCTTTTTAAATAGCTTACCTCCAGTGGGTGCTACGGGGTCCCTTGTCTACATCGACTGCTTGTTGCTTCTCAGGTTGAATTTAGTGTTCAATTTTACTGTGAATCGTTAAACAGCTGAAGACCTGCTGTGAGAGAGGTTCTCTGGCTTTGCCGCTCAGGTGTTGCAATTGCCTTTGTACAAAAACAAATTAACAGAATAGCATGGAGTTGAATAGAAGTGCATATTATAAAGGATTTTTTCTTCTCCGTCTTTTAGAATTAGAGGGTATTTTCATGGTAAAAAAAAAAAGGGGGGAATATTTCTTAAGTCTTTCTTTCCTCTCATTACAAGGTTAGCTTGACTTGGTGTTTATGGTGCTGAAATTCTTATAATTGCATCTTACAATTTTAAAGTGCATATAGCAGTATAACATAGTGGGGTTTCTATTTCATCAAGTATATTTGAATTGGTGAAATATTAAACAAATAGCATTTAGAAATCCACATATATATGCCATATTATGACTTATAGATGCATAATTCACGTTTTTATACTTAGTTATAAGAGATAAAACAAAATCATATTGATGGAAAATATTTTGTTTACACCAAGATCTTCAGTCTAGCAGCCAGAGAGATATCATAAAAAAAAAAAAAAAAAACAAAAAAAAACCAAACAAAAAAACCCAAAAAAAACCAAAACAAAACAAAGCCACATATTAGAAATAGAGCATGCATCTTAAAAGAGAATATTTACTGGGTGATTTATTTGAGATTGTGAAAGGTTCTTCTTCACTGGGAGAATTCATCTGAATTAGATGAATGAATTAAAGAATATGCTCTATGTGTAGTAGAGATAATGTATTTGACAAAAAAATAGTTCTGGGAAGTCTTACGGCCTGTGCTACAGAACAGACAGACTAAAAATTATGAAAATGGTCCATTTTTCTGCTGAAACCAATGAGTTCAAAATCTATTAATTTTGAAAATTACTCTAGCTCCTTCTGCCACTGATGGTTGTCTTAGTTTTGTTTGGAAGCTGTCTCCATGTTTCCTATGTCTGTGTGACCATCGGTTCAGGTGTCTGCAAGACTGATTCAGTCCTTCTGTCTTCCAACTCAGATAAATTAATTTCCAGACTTTGTTGTCTTGGAAACTAGGTTTTAAATACCAGGGACCAGTTAGTTGTGCACAATTAGAATTATTATGGTATGTTTAGAAGGCCCTGCTAAAAGTAAAAATCTTCAAGTCAAGGTACTTCAATATAATATTTCTTTTTTTATACCTTTGTGTCCAAACACATAGGAGACCCTATTATATATAGTATAGAGAAATTGGATAAAACAAACAGGGCAAGAGTGAAAAGCACACCACATGTTTGAAATGGCAGCATACAGATAACAGTTGACTATTGTTCTTCATGTAGCTATTTCTGGAAGAAAAGGAGGGTGTTCAATTCACCACACTTGAAAACCTGAAGAGCGTGAATCTGAAAGCGAGTTTTGAATTAGATCTCACTTGTACAGAGGGGAAATATGAAGATTTCTTGTGCTTATAGTATTATTAACAATTGCCTTAACTTGTCCTTTTGGTTTGCACTATATTTTCTCCAAGTTCAACATCTATACTCATTAAGTTTCAATCTTTAAAGACCACAAATTTTAAGATTATGAATGTCAGGCAGTAACGACAATCAGTTTTTTTCTGAACGTTTCTTCTTTAAGAATAAATCCCTGAAACATAGCATTTTCAGAATATTGTAGCTTTTCAAGAGGCATCCTCATGTCCTTACTGGTTACAGTGTTGAGAGTTGTATGATTCTCTTAGTAGCTGGTTTGCTTATGGCAGATTTTAAAGTCATATCCTGCCCTCAGGCAGCTGAGCAGAGAAAATAAAGTGATTAAAGGCGATTGGAAATCAAGACCATTAGATATTATAATGACGGGTACCAATCTTTCTTTTTTTTCCTGTGGCAGTAGAGAAAAGATAAATTCATTTTTTCACCTAACCTTCAACTCCTGTCTATCCTGTTATGTACACTATTTGTACATGCATCTCTGCAGAGATGCAGCCTGCGTTTCATTACCATACTGTCATAGTTGGTTATTTCTTCCTCCAGCGCTCAGCATCAAAACACGTACTTAATTCATACTCTTTCAGCCAAATGAAGATGGCTGTGTTTTGCTCTCCCCATCATGTGCACTTCACCATGTAGCTAGCAAAGCAGCTGGTTTTCCATTACAAACAGGGATGTGCACTTCATCTCGGAAAACCAGGCTGTAACATAAACGGCGCCAAAAGACTTCTCTACATTATGTTAGAGGGTTTGGACCAGTTCCTGGTGACTGAGCGTCTTCAAGACAGAGCCGTAATGACAACTGGCAATGATTAGCACCTCTGCTAGCAAACTTGACGTTGCCTCCAAGCATGAAATGCCAGCATGGATGATTTCTTCTGTAATGGTTGGCCCTCTAGGTTAACACTGAGGCATATGGGTACCCAGTAAGGTGAGGATTTCTCTGCACAGTCACTGTGATCTTTTTTTTCTATTACCACTATCATGTGTTATACCTACAGAAGTTGTTCGTGGCCAGATTGTTGTACTAGATGCTATTCAAGCACACAATAGACTATAATCTTCCTTCTAAAGACTATTTCTGGTGTTGCACCATCTGTATTAAATTTGGTACTAAATAGTGAATTTAAGGTAGGCTGTCTGTACATACATGAGGAAATTTGGGGGTTTCCTCCTAATTTTTTGCTAGAAGGTGAAAAAACCAAACAAACAGATCCATCAGTTGTGGTTTTTGGTTTTTTTTTCCCTCTAACCTTCCAACATTTTAAACAATCTGAAGCCAACATATACATGTCTAGATTCAATCAACCTGCCCAGCGACCCTTACACCATTCGTAGCACCAGCAATGGACATAATGTGGTTTGAGTTTAGGGGATGAGGCAAATTCCAAAGGTCTGTAACTGAAAAGAATCATGTGAGCCAATAAGAAAAAGCACATTATAGACTTTACATTTGCTTGAAAACCAGTTGACATCATTTATGTTTTCTTTCAAGGGGAAATTTCTTATTTGCTTTGATAACTTATTCCTCCAGGATGTTAGTTACTTTTTCCCCGGTGTTTACTTTCTCTTTTGAAGATAACATGGAGATTCTGGTAATATAATAGCATTTAGTGTCCATTTATATATGAAATAGCATTATTTTGAAATACTGCATTCCGGTTGTTAGTGTTTCCAAAGGATATTTGTTCCTGGAACTGTATTCATCATGTTAACAGAGTTAAGAAAAGTTGCAGCAAGGTAATGATAAAAGCCATTTGTAAAGAAAACTAGAGTTGAAACAACTTAATTTTTGAGACAATTCATTTTCAGTTCTTGACTGCTTGGGCAGAGAAGTTAATTTAAAAAGAAAGAGAAAGAGCATTTCCTGGGCAGGTAGTCGATGAAATAAGAGCTTACTGTACATAGGACTTTGTATCCTCTATAAGCTTGTCATCTCCTCTCTTTTGCTTTCTCTGCCTGTGTCTCTCTCTAGACCCCTGAAGAGCTGGAGGATGATTCAGACTTTGAGCAGGAAGATTATGATGTTCGCAGCCGAACAAGTGTTCAGACTGAAGATGACCAGCTTATTGCTGGCCAGAGTGCAAGGGTGAGTATAAAACCCACGTACTACATTAAGCATCTGTATAGCTACAAATAAAGAGCTATGCCTCGGAAAGCAAATGCAGTGACTTCAAATCTTCAGGGTCACTTAAGAAAGGATAGGAGTAAGTTGACCATGGTGTTTAAAATTTTTTTATGTCTCACCTATTTGAAAAGCACTGACTTTATTGAATGGTCTTCCTTGGGCTTATGGAATGCCTTGTATCAACCTTTTGCTCCTGCTAGTGCTGTAGGAGAAGACCTTGCAGGTTTGGAACATGTTGAATCCGTAGGAGCAGTCAGTAAATTAAAATAAATAAATAAATAAATAAATCCCATCAGGCACCATGTGCTGTAACCAGAGAAATCTTACATTAGTCATGTTTCCCAGCGTACAAACCTGTCAAGAAGATCTGTTTAAGTTACCGAGTAGTGCCTGTAATTTAATTGTAATTGAAGACATTTGTTACTGAGTCAATGTAATTTTACCAGGGTAATTACATCATGATAAACTCAAGTCATTGTGATTTGCGACCTCGGCTTGTGCATGGGGATTGCAAATTAAGTTGATGAGTGCTTCAGGGGTCACAGGTGTTGGAGAAATGAAGTTTGTTAATGCTCAGGATTAAGCCACCATCTGATGAATGTTTACCTTTTGTTAAATAGGCTGCTTGGCTCAGATTATAAAAAAAATCAACATCAGAATATAATTTGGGGGGGCAAATGACATCATGAAGATATATTTGACTGGAAAGAGAGTTTAACAAAAAAGAAGCCTTAAAATTTTCCAGCAGAGAACCAGTGGGGAACTGGGAATTACCTGAATAATTTTCGTGGCTGTGTTGCACAGGTCTGCGGTTTCTTCTGATAAGTGCTAAAAGTGAATACTCAAACACTATAGGAAAAGCTGGTAACTTTTTGTATTTTAAAGAGCATAAAGTCCTGTTTGATATATTCAAAGAATTGACTACTAAAGTAAGTCTCGGCTGCAAAAGTATTGAGATACAGTATAGTTATTTCACAGTCTTTTTTATTTTTTTTCAGTTACATCTAGGATTGGGTAGCATTATCATCTTTTCTTGATCTGAAAACCAAGTAAACACTGCAGTAATATTTTTACTCAGAATCTAGTTCACCTAGGGACTTAGGAGTCTTAAATTCCATTACATTTATTGCGGTTATTATCACTGCTGCACTTAAAACCTTCTACTTTGATCAGCTACACACTGTATAAACATAATACATTATAAAGACAGTCCCATTCCTGAATAATGTAGAATGCAATATGTCACAAGAAGCAACAAACGATGAAAATCTAGAATGAAAACACGTTAAGCAGAAGCTACCCAGTCCACACTCTTGAGTGACTCATTGAAATGAGTCTGCTAAGCAGAATAGTATCTTATTTGAACCTTTTCTACATAAAAGCTCCATTTTTATGTGTGGAATGTAATGGATTTGTTTAATATGCTTACTCCATAAAGCTATTAGGATTTCACTAGAAAGACTTGTGTTGGTCTTCAATACAAATAAAACTTGAATATATGAGCTGCATTTGCTATAGAATATAGCTCCTTTGAAAATACATCTGCAGCTGGAATAGGAATGTTAAAACGCTGTATATATAAAGGGTGTGCAGGTGAAGCTGCCCACAGAAAGAAGCCACATGCAAGACATGCGGATCAGCTTTCCAAATTTTACTACTCCTATCACATTCTCTTAATTTCAGTTAATTCATCTTTTCGAGTGTTTTATGTGTATTTCGTATGTTTATTAGCTTGACTTCCACTGCATTTTTCTGCGGAAAGACTAGAACGCTAACATTTGAAACTGCTGAGTTACATTGATAAGGCCTAATTAAAACTCATGTGTTGAATTTTAATTTGATTAACTTGCAAATTTCTCATTTTCTGATCTACTGTTATAACCTTTTTTAATTTCAGTTTTGGAAAAGGTCAATTATGAATTTTTAAAAGCCAAGAGCATTTTAAGAATATGTAGAGAAAGACTTCGGCTGATTGAAAGTGACATAAACAAGAAAAATTTAATGACACTTAAATATATGTCACACCCCATTAAATGCATAATGTGGTCTTCAGAACCCCTAAAGCCAAATAGTAGCTCAACTTGGAAAGCATTATTGGAAATGTCCATTTGATCTTCAAAAGTAATTATTATAATTTTGTAAGGTTTTCTTTTTTTTTTTTTTTTTTTTTTTTTTGGTGGGGGGGACAGGGAACTTTCTGCTTTGTTGATAATGTCGAGGCAGATTAGTATCAACCTGTGTAGTGCCTTTTTGCATAGCTTCCAAAAGACAATTAGACCACTAAATATCATTGAAAGGTACATTCATTACAATTCACTTCAAATGTATTGTCTTGCATGTCATAGCTTATTTTAGTGTTGAGTTAAGCAGAAAACCTCTATTTCTGACAGAGAATGAAACTGGGGGAGATACTGGCAAATTAGTCTGCCTTTTCCCATAGATGTCATTCATTTTCCTCTTCCTAAACGTTAAGATTTAACAGGAATTTTCCCCTATCTTCTGGTGAATAATCTGTCTATTATAGCTTCATATATTATTTTTTTTAAAATTATTGAAGGTATAAGAAGAGCTATAAACATCCTGTATTTTGTCTGGTGGGTTTTTTTGCCTGTCCTAACAGAAATCAAATACCTACTGGATTTTGCTTGGTATCTTCAACTCCCATAAAAAGAAAGTAGAAGTTGAGCATGCTCTTTAGACCACCGGCAATGTATAGTTTCTACCTTCCTTTTTTCATGTCCAACTTCCTCCTTTTCTTCTCCAGGCTATCATGGCTCAGCTTCCCCAGGAAGAGAAGGCTAAGATTGCTGAGCAGGTAGAGATATTCCACCAAGAAAAGAGCAAACTGGATGCGGAGGTGGCCAAGTGGGATGACAGTGGTAATGACATCATCGTGTTGGCAAAGCAGATGTGCATGATTATGATGGAAATGACAGACTTTACTAGGTAAGGACAAAATACCCCGTGCTGGGGACTTCTTCAGACATCCCACATCTTTTTGTTGCAATTTATAGCCTATTGAGATGGTGTGCTGTGTGTTGGGGGATGCAAAGCCAGGTGACACACATCATGCATAAAGGGATGAGTTGTACAGTTCTCTACAAATGACTGCTCTGGAGATTTCCCCAAATGGGATTAATCACATGAAGTTTTTGTCCTATTTGCGAATCTGTTTTATTTGCAGATCATATTGAATTTCAGCAGCAAAGATCGTCTGTGACCTTACAGACACTCAACTGACATTTCGTTTAGTACCCATCTAAATGCATGTGCCTCTCTGAACTTTCAACATTTCAACGTAATTTGTGTCAATCAAAAATAATGGCAAAACTATTTATATCATTTTGAACACTGAACTTCTTTCCAAAAATATCGCAAATGAAATGAAACTATTTTGATCTAATACTCTACTGGAGCCTGTCAGTAATGATTTTTTTTTTTTTTTTTGCTTTCATTTCTTTTTTGTCTGTTGATGTCTTGTTCTTTTCTAATCGCAAAGCATCAAAAGGCCATTCATTAATGATATCATATAAACATAATTATTTTGTTTAAATATAGTCATATTGTTAATCACACCAGGGAGAAAATTTTTGCAAGATTCTTTGAATTACAGATCACCGTAATAAATTAAAGGTTTTTCAGTGTTTATTTTTAGTGAGAGTTCGAAAGTTTAAATGGTATTTATCAAAATGTGATTAGACAAAACTGGACAAAAATCTTCATGTTTTCCTAAAGAATTAAAATAAGACCTCCATTTATTCATCTCACCGAGATGCTCAAATAGATTTCTTAATCTCCAACTGATCACATGCCCTGGGTCTGGAGCCATCAACCCCTTTCAGAGGAGACAGTCTCTGCATTGACAGTACAGGGCTCGCACATACCTCGTGGATGGATGGATGGATGGATAGATAGGAGAGTGTGTGTGTATAAATACTGTTAATTTGCAAATAGCTTGATTATTTGCACTTGCATAGTTAATTGGTAATAGGTAACAGCAAACATTTTTATCCATTTTAAATTGTTATGCATATAGAAATTTGCTTACTTTAATAGATTACTACTGTACTTCTTTCCAAGTAATTATTCTCTCAGCTTATTTGTTTTTCTCTCAGTTTGTGCTTTTACAACTGTTCTTTTTGCAGTAAGCCCATCACTCCTGTATACCAAATGCCAGTGTAGAACCTCCTGTGAAGGGTGATATTTTAGAGGAATCTGAATTACTTTTGCATTTGAATTGTCTTTGGGTCTCTGATCCTTCTGCCCAAAACCAGAGTGAAAGTCTATCCAAACAGTGCCATCATTTCATGGAAGGAAGAAATAATGTTCTAAAGCAACAGCCCAGAATATGAACACTTGCTGCAACCTCACGGACAACCTTTGATACATTGAACATCAAATTGAAAGTTTTGTAATTACATTTTCTACCATCAAAAGAACAGAACTAATATGAGAATGAGAGAAAACTACGGTTGCATTTGAAGTAAATTAAAAAAAAAAAAATATATATCAAAGTGCACTTCCGTCTACATCAGATTCAATAAAAACTTGTTTAATATATTCCATTAAAACAGAACAAAGCCTTTCACACATTTTTAGTTGACTGTAACCTCAGCAGTGTTAAAATAGAATAATTTTTCAAATGCATGGAACTTGTGACAGTCAGGTCTGCTGATGTAATTAATGTAGAAGCATACGAGGTCACTGTGACGGATTTTTGCTACAATTTAAGTTCAGCACAAGTGGGATACTTGTATTTCAACATCTGTTTAAGGTGGAAGTGAAAGTATGGAAAGAAGATAAAAATGGAAATATGTTTCAGTATGTTATTCTTGGCATTACAGATGAAAAAAAAAAAAAGGAAAAAAAAATATTATGTTGTGCTTAGCAAAAATGCCTTCAGTTTTAGTTTAAAAAACCCTAAGTTTGATCACACAATGATTTTCCATCAGTCTTGTCTGAAGCTATATTTCTCCACATAGTATAAAACAAAAAAAGCCAAACAAACAAAAAAAGGAAAATCAGCTCACTTCCAACTGAGCCAGTCTCAGGAGGAGTAGCAAATTTATTAAATTTAAATTAAAGTTTTGAATCTGAAGCAAACTCAGAAAAGCCTGCAGGTTTTTTTTTTTACTTTTTGTCTATAAATGTTCTGGTAACTTGAATGACTAAAATCAGTTTTGTGCAGCATCTTAGAAGTATCAGTCTTAAGGCGAATTGTACACATTTTAAGTGTAAAATTTAAGTGTTATGTATATAAGTATTATGCTTATCTTTGTTTTCTTACAAAAATCTACTAACAAAGGTTTTCTAAAATGTGACATCTTGCTCTGGACGTGACAGGCTTAACATCTAGCACTGGCTTGGGAATAACATAATTTTGAAATAGTCGTGTATTCCAGAAAGAATGTTGGCTTAATGAGCACTTAAAAATGCATATACTATGAAGTATGGCTCATGTGCTTGAAGGCGCCATCAGACTAAATTGCTAGTGAGGCATTTTGTGAGAGAGAGGAAATATAGCAGACCGATTTCTTAATCAAGCTGTGCTATAAAGTAGTTAAAAGGTGAAACTGTAATAAATTAAGAAGTCATTTGTGTTACTATTTTAAAATCAAACACTAAACAGGGTCACCAAAACTGTTTCCTTTCATGATTTATTTAGATTGTGCATAATTGTATTGTATTTCGCAGAGGTAAAGGCCCCCTGAAGAATACATCAGATGTCATTAATGCAGCCAAGAAAATTGCAGAGGCAGGATCGAGGATGGACAAATTGGCACGGGCGGTAGCTGATCAGGTAACAGCAAAAATGAGCTGGAATGTAATGTAACCTCTATCAATGAGTTGCCTTTTGCAGAAAAAGGTTATCTCTACTTGGCAGAAAATTACCTGCTGAAAGTCACTGCCTGGATACTGATCTACCCATTGAATACAAGTTGTTTCTTTACCAATCAGCTTGAGTTTCGCAGTACAGGAAAGTCATAAATGAATCTCTCTAAACCTCAACAATATCTGAATTGCTCCGCCGCCTCACTTTGGGGCCCAGGTGATTGTATTAGTACTAGGCTGATATATTTGCTGTCATGAAAGCAGTAGAGACTTGGATGCTCTTCTACCCTTGCCATACGCCTAGGAATATTCTTTTCAGCTCATTCTTCTAGCAATTTCCCTTGATATGACACTTTTCTTTTTCAAGATTCCCTGACTCCCTTTCTTCTGCTTTGCATCAGGGTATTGTGCTTTCACCTTACAGTCCCCTGCTCCGTGGTCTGGGGTCTATGGCCTCAGTCCCCTTACCAAATTCATGTCACAACTGGAAAAATGAACCTTCTATATTCAGCCCCTTTCTTTCACATTGGATTCTCTATCCATCTGGAGAGCAAGAAGCAGCATCATAGTAGAAATCAAGAGCCAAATTTCAAATCCAGGTTCTACATAGCTAATTATAGATTTAGGAAATTAAATTTGACTATTTTTCCCCTTGTAAACTTCCTGTAGTTTCTTTCCTGTCATTGTCATCAGGAGAAATTTTGCTGGAAGTGGGAACTGATAACTTCCTTGCCTCTAGTCTTTCTCTTCAAAATAAGTATTTCTATTTCTTCTTCAAGTAAGCATGTAATGTTGTGTAACACATTGTGCTAAAGAATATGGGTCAGAGTGGCAAGAAACCTGAAGTTGCCCATTTTCCTATAACCTCAGAAATTTTGGGTTTAGGTTTTCTTCATTATTAGCAAGCATTTTTTCCTGTAGTTAACCCATTCCAGTCCGTCAAATGTAGCATCTGTTCATTTTAGCATAAGAAAGAAGAAATCCATCTGTCAGCTGACGAAATTCCGAGTCTACAGTATTCGCAGAGGTGGAATATTTTAAAGAAAGAAACACAAAGAGACTTGCTATGCTTAGAGTGAATTGGCTTGAGTCACATTTTAAATTTCACATGACTCTAGCATCCACACTTTAATAACTATGAGAATGAAGGGTTTGTTTTAATGCTTCCACTTCGATGATACTTTACAGAACTTTGGAGACACTTGTGCAATATAAACTTTTTATGGACAGTTGCATTTTTAATTACTGTTCCAATGAAAGATATCTTACATTTTCATTTGCTCCAAAGTACTTGTATTTAAAGCCTTGTCAGCTCTCAAGAAGTATTGCTTTAAAGTTCGTTTCTGTCAGTTCATAGACTTCAAAAGTAGGGTAAATATTTCTGTATTAAATTGTCACCAGTAGGGAGAAGAGGTCTTTTAGGGCTCCATGCCTGAAAGATGTGGCAACTGTCTGAGCAAGAAGAGTCATTACAGCACTGCCATAAGCATAGAACAGATTAAACCTAAGAGCCACAATGAACCTCCAGCTTTGTTTATTGTTAGCTTTAAAAGGAGAGAAAAAAGCAAAGTGACTGCTTTCAGGGTTGTAGATGACAGTATATGCAACTACTTCACTGCAAACATGTTCCTTGCCAGCAGCAGCTGTTGGGGCTAGAGCAGTCATCTCAAGCCAGAGGCTGTGATGCTGTTGACTCACGTGTGTTCAGTTCTATTGGGTTTTGTTGAAGTGCTCTGACAATACTTTACAAAAGTTGAGCATAAACTTTGTAAAATGCTAAAAAGAAACGTCTGGAATCTTTGTTCCCCAAGCTATACATTCAAAGAATATTGTCAGTCAGATTTGATTGGGTAGCCCCAAAGAGTATTTATTGGAGACAAGCTGTTAGCAATGGACCCTTTCAGCAATGTTTCATCAGTGTGAATTACTGAGGTCTGTTCTCTTGAGGCTAGACTTTGAATATTAACTACAAGAGTGTTGTTTATTATGCTGTTGATATCGTGGGGGGTGATGCAGTTTCTGTTGAGTCCCAAAGACTATGAATAAATTGTACTTGGGCCTTTTCTAGTTATATTGATTATAAAACCTTCACTGAGTCTACCATATTTGACCTGATGTAATTTTATCAAAATACATTTAAGATGCGCAGCATCCAAAACGATACAGGACTGTAGACAGCCTTCCCTCTGGTATGAAGAGGTATCCTTTAGATGTGCAGAGGGACCAACTTACCTCATTGTGTTCTTGAGAGGGCTGCAATACTGATGTCATCTGCTGAGAGACTCTGTAATATCTCACTTACACTTTAGTAAATAATTGTCTTCTGGCACAGATTAAGGTATTTATGCATTACCAATAAGCTTGCCAAATCTGTCAATACCAAACCCAAGCAGCCTCACATCTGCCTTGCGAGTCCTTAGTGTGTCAGTAAGGGGCCTGGCTTCTGCCAAGTCTGAAGCAGAGCTGTGTCCTCTGAAGGTCTGCACAAATGCCGGGGAAGCTGGCAAGACAGACAAGAGTTGTCATTAGAGTGGATGTCATCAGTCAGAACTGGGTTTATGTGGACTTTAACTAGTCCATGTTGTACCTTAACCTGGACACCCAGCAAGCAACCTAGAGTGTCAGGTCAAACTTGGTCTTTTGGCTGCTCAGTAGATTCTTCTGTTTTGTACAAACTGGTATCGTAAGTGAACCTCCCCCACAAACATAGCAAGCATATTATTTGTCTTTCGTTAGTGATTGACAGGGAGGTTTCTTCTTTTTACAAAAAGGTATAGTGCATCTTCAATTAGACAATTAGAAGTTGAGTTAACTGAAAGGTAGAGTTTGAATTTTCACATTTCATCAAGTATCTCATGTAAAGACGAAGTGAAACGGATCCACCTAATACACACACATTGCCACTATCTCCTCTGATTACCTCTCTCTAATCATATAAAGTCAGCTACATCTAATGACATATTTCTTTTGTCTGTAGTGCCCAGACTCAGCCTGCAAACAGGATCTGCTAGCCTACCTGCAGCGCATTGCCCTCTACTGCCATCAACTCAATATCTGCAGCAAAGTGAAGGCAGAAGTCCAGAACCTGGGAGGAGAACTTATTGTATCAGGGGTAAGCTGGTATTTGTATTTAGCCATTTATGTTTCCCATGTAGCACTTGAAAGGGAGCATTTTTGATGGCAATAATGTACAAAACAAAAATACAGTGATTCATAAGCAAGCTTTTTAAAATGTTATCGCCATTATTCCAGACCTTACAATAACTTGCATAGAGCAATTTGGTTTTCCAATTACCCTTTGTTTATACTAACCTTGTAAAATCTTCATTCTTCCAAAAGAAAAGTAATTTCATAGCCTAGAAAGTCATTGCCAAGCTGTGAATATTATAATTATTTGGAGCTTTTGTATATTTGCTCATTATAAATCTTCTTTCCTTTGTTAGTACTGGTAATTTCCTTCCTCTGTGCAGAAGCCAGCTCTGTATGAAGTGCATATTGTTAAGATGGTGATGACTAATGGGATTTCATTCACTCAGGTTCCAATGCACACTAGGTTTAGCAAAAACTCTGGAAGGCCGGCAAAATATTTTATTTTATGATGCACGTGCTGTTTTCAAATACTATTGGCAAGCACAATGATTATATACTCTAATTCCCGTCCAGTTATTTCAGTTATTTTCAATGAACACTACAAACTTTTTACACACAATCTTTTTTAGAAATCGAGACAGGAATGTGCAGCAGCAGTAATGTTATAAAGGATGAGTTTTCTACATTTTTTAACTATTTTTTCTTTCCTTCTCCTCTGTGCCTCTGGGAGATTACTAGATCCAAGCAGTAGCAGTTGCTGCTCTTCACGATTTTCTTGTTTTGTTCTTTTAACTAATCACCCTAGTAGTAGCCCCACGACACCTTTGTTGTATTCTAACTCAAATACAGACCATATGTATGTAAATGTATAATATGTTTCACTCTCCTGAGTGTGTTTTCAAAATGATGACGATTTGTGAGACCCAGGATACTTGAAACAAGATTGTTTTCAAATGCGGTTTTGAAAAAGCACCCTTTCATTGTTTAAGCCCAATCAAGTACGAAGATTGTTAGGACAACTAACTTGTGCCCTTCATTTCATCCATAAGATTCCCCAGTGAAATCACTGGCCTTCCTCACACGTGTCAGAAGTCAGAGCAAATGTTCTCAATTACATAACATTTTGATTTTTTGCAAAGTACTATAGAAGGTCTTAAACATTTGCCAGGCTTTCTTGGATCAAACATTCTCAAGTCATATATGCAATCCTAAAAGGAGCTGCTTAAATGTTCCTGTGTCTGTCCTGCAATTGGTCTTCACTTCTTGACGTATGTACATATGTAATTTTAATACCTTGATCTTCCCACAGCAATGAAAAGATCCTCTTCCATTTTCCTGATAGTAATGGAGTGATCTGTCCTTGTATCGTTGACAGCTATGCTGCGTAGTAAACGCTATGATCTTTTCTTACGTACTGCCATCTGGGTCCAGCTTTTCATACCCATTGAGTTGTCATATTCATCTATCTACAGCAGTTACCCAAATCAGTGCTTCTACCAGCTTGGCTTTTGTGGTTGTGTGTGTTTCTTTTTCAAGTCTCTTTATTCAGTGTATGTGGATGCTGAATAAGCCATTGTGAATCTCTAGCATCTATTCGTTACTGGAACATCACCATCCGTTGTGAAATTTAAGTGGCCGAATCGCTTGACTTCATCATTTCCAGTCTGGCATTGTTAGCATCTGCTGCTTACCAGGCTTCATCACCATTGTGTTTCTGTTTGGTTGGGTTTTCATAGTCAGTAGCAGACAAAGGCATAACTAGCTTCAACCACAGAAATTATTTGGGTCTGCTCCAAAGACTCAGTAGTACTGACGTACAGAAAAATTTAAGATTGCCCAGCTTGCTTCTTCACTGTTGCTCTGAACAGGAGGTGATATAGAGAGTTGAACTCCTGTGCATCCCTTTTTGAGAGCATTATCTTGTTATCTGGTATAACACAGTCAGCAGAGTGCTTTCCTGAAGCTGTTTATCTTCAAGGTGCTGGGTACTGTATGCTCCTTTGCTATCCAGAGATCTGGTATACAAGTGCACATCTACATCTGCTTGTCTACTTGCTGCTTCAGCTTCCATCTTCTTCTTCATTTTCTCTTGGATAGCCAATTACAAATAAACAGTATTTTATTTACATTAAAATGAAATACCATTATTTGGCAACTTGCATACAGTACAATGTTAGAAGTACAATACAAATCCAGAATTCAAGCTCCCAACCTATGACTACAGAAGTAAGTTTATGTGAATTCACCGTATTTAAGTGTTTTGATGCAAATATCAAGCACCAGAATGATTATTACAATATTGTAATTTACTACTGTGTTTACAAAGAACCGCAATATAATTAAGATTGATCCAAAAGACGAGTTATGATTCAGAACTATTATGTGGAGTACAATCTCTGCTTAGAGTTTTGCATTATTAAGAATATTAATATTTATAAATGAAATGAATGTATGCTTATGTATGAATCCATGTGTGGACATATGTATATTTATGTAAAAAGGAAAGAGACATAAAACCAATTAAAACTTAAAAGACAGATGAAAGCCACCCAACAGTTCTTATAGTTCTGTTAGAGAAAAATGTGTTGCAACAACTTAAAAAATACTGTGTACGTAACATATAATGTGCTATATATCTTTTGGTGAAAATTTGATTTCTTTTTTTCCCCATAAGATTCAGTAGTTCAGTATGGTTTATCTCTGCAAATAAGTATGAAGCTGATTTTGTTTGCTTTTTCCTCTATAGATTGATATGATACTAGCATAGCATATGAAGGGGTTCTTTTTGGCATCATTGACTTTGCTGCAAATAGAAAAACAGATCAAAAAGTAAGAAAATGTCACATTCCTGAAGTGTAAATTATTTCAGTAAAGGAGAGAACCCACTGTTGTTTTTCCGTCTTTCTTCCATTCCTTTCCCCTCAGTTCTTTCTTTGATCTTTCCCATCAAATTCCCTGCATGCAGATAGCAAAATTATTTTTACCAGATAAGTAAGAACTGGCAGATGAGAGTTAGCATACATCAGCCTAACCTCATTAATATCAACGGAGCACGGCCAATTTAGACTGTTGACTTGGCCCTTTACATTGCAAGGTGAGACTCTTAGTTCCTGATTCCAATTGAATTTTGAAAAGTAAAATAAGGAAAAACTATGCGATACCAGTGAGAAGCCTTGTAGACTTGAAGAAGATTATAGAGAAGAAAGAAAAGGGATGAGGAGGAAGTTAGATTAAAAACAAGAAGGAATTAATATTAAAAAAAATGCAAAAGATTTTAAAAAATATTTCTAATCTGTGTAGATGATATCCTTGTTCCTAATAAAAGTATCTTTGACCTTGGTCCATAAAGAGATATGTTTCTGTAATTTTAAATTTGAATATTCAATTTCTAATTCCCCTCTAAAAATAAACAACCTCTTTTAATAAAATCACAGACTAAAAGCACTTCAGAATAATTTTCTTTGCCTCTTGCCTTAGTTTATTTAATGTAATGTATATTTGCGTCAAAATTAGTTGCACCATTGTATTGGAATGAATCCTCTGAGGTGCTGAGCATATGCTACTCTCAGTGAAGTAAATACCATTTACATATACTTAGCTCATGCTGATAGATGATAGCCATTTTGTGATTGTTGAATAGAATTGGGTTTAACCATGATGTTTGTTATTTGGATAAAAATTCAAACTTCTACTAACTCTAGGGCTGCTTTATTTTTTTAGTATTCCTGTCTGACTCTTGTTAGCTAGGCCATTACAATAAAACAGATCTATATATTCATTTCTTACTCTAGAATAAATACCCACTTGTTCTGTTTAGTGCTGCTCCGAAGCTGATCAGCTCATTTGCCTACTATCCATTTAGGCTATGAGCTTGCATTTTTTAAAGTTCTTGTTTATGTTAGTAGCTTTGCTACAATCTTCCCTGCAGGATTATATTGAACAGAATCTGAGAAAATCCCTTATCCAAGGCAGCCCCCTATCGTGTTCAGGTTTGATTTAGAACTCTACAGATAAAATCAGCTGTATTATCAGAAAATTTGCCCAAAGAGTCTTAAACTTCTGAGCCGGAGAGATATGCAGTGGCGTACAGAGTAACAGCCATGTACCTTTGAACACCGTCCAAAACCACCGAATCAATAGCCAAAGCACACTCAAACGCATACTTTAGCTGGGTCCAATTTCCAATTATTTTCAAAAGCCCATTTATCTTAGCATAATAGGCTCAGCTACAATACTAAGAGAAAGATTCTTATGACATCTTGAAGATACAAGGCAGTTCAGTTAAGATTGTGACTTTATCTAAGAGTTCTTGCTTGGTGAATTTAAGTGAGGACTTTGGGGGGAAAAAGGAAGGTAAAGGGGCCGGAGCCACGCCATTAACTTTGGGTAGGACATCATGAAAGTTCCTTTAACGCCTGGACTGGGAGGTTGGATACATAAAAATTTTAACAGCTATTGGATATACCGCAAAATAATTGTATGTTTATTCTTGATCAGTGATAAGAATAAGGGAACTGGAAATAGATAGTCCTCATCAAAAAAGAATGAGCCTGTTATTATTTATGACAGAATAACAGTGTGCATCCAGCAGTTCCTTCAGGTGAGCTGGCAAACCTGTTCCCTGTCAGTTCTGCCTATGGATCTCACAGCTAGTAAACCAAAATGGTTGAAAGGTCCTACTTTTCTTTCATTTAAGGCTGAATCACCTTAAACTACCTCACGCTGTAAAAGCAAGTTGGTATGCATATGGGCAGTGGAGTATCAAGTTGCTACTTATGAATTCTATAGACTCAAAGTCAGGTAATTTAAGGTACACCTGCTATTAAAAGCGAGTAAGGCTGTCTCATTGAATTGGGATTAAGAGCCTGTGCATAAGCAGTTGCTTAAGAGCCACTGATGTGGTATTTCATTTCCCTGCATCAGAAAGCCTTTCCGTTTTTTTTTTTTTTTTTCTTTTGTTTGTTTGTTTTCAAGTAGGCGATCGGAGAGACCCTTTGCATTTAAAATGCTTAAGACTACGGA